TCATTTGAAAGCTTTATGTATGCTACTGCTGGACAAATGAGGGACTTTTATTTGATGTTCTTAAACCATCTCAGTGTCAGTCTGAAACTTGTAACAAACATTTTCTCTCTTTCAAACCTTTCTATTATGAAACCTAATAGAGGAAAAACTCTGTTTCTACAGGTTTGATTTATGTTATTGGTGGTATCAGCAATGAAGGAGTAGAGCTACGTTCTGTTGAAGTGTACGACCCAATATCTAAACGTTGGTCTGAGCTTGCTCCAATGAGCACCCGAAGAGCCTACCTTGGTGTAGCTGCTCTCAACGATTGTATCTATGCTGTGGGAGGCTGGAATGAATCTCAGGATGCACTTGCTACTGTAGAAAAATACTCCTTTGAAGAGGTATAGTAGAGCCCCTTTCTTTCATAAGTGTAGATTGCATCAACTTTGTGTAAGATGCTATAGAGGTTGCCTGCTTCCTTTCTTTAAAAAGAAAACAGTTGGAAATTCTATTTCTTTTCACTACTGGCTGGTAATCTGAGTGAAACAAAGCTTCAGTGACCTCAGGGTCTGTCTGTCCTAACCAGCCTGCAGAATCTTGCTATCTGACTCGGTGGAATGTTTACGAAAATTACATGTATGCTTTTGGGAAACTGAAAACTAACCAATACTGATGATGCATAGGTACTCTGTAGTTTGGTAAATACTTGTTAGGGTTAGGATGGAGGGATAGATACCCCCTCTGCAATAGAATGGTCAATAATCTGACGAGAGAAAAAAATCCCTGAAAAAGTAAGAGTTGCCCTTTGTTGCAAAAGTTGAGGATCTTTCTTCTGCATCAGAATGTAGTGGTGTTTCAGCACTGACTAAAAAAAATCACTTTGAACACTTAAGCTTTTGAATAAGATAAAAATTATTCCTGACTATTATTGCTCACGTTTCTGTGATGCTCTTCGGAACAGTGGCTAGTGTTAAAAGTGGAGCATAATCCAGTGTGCCATTCTGTTTTGCTTTTGGAATTGAATATAGTTTTCTTTATTTCCCACTTCACGCTGTACCATTCTCTGTTTTGGAGACAGACTGCATCTTGCAGTGACTGAAGAAAGGGAGGGCGGTCATGTACAGGCAGTATGTGATCCACTTTTTAGTGACTAGCATGATTTTGACCACTCATGAAGGCGTTGTCATTAGTCTTGATAATCCTCTTGATACTGTACACATACCATATTTCAGCCTGTGAAGTGTATGCATAGTGTTTTTTGTTTCAGTCTTTTAAGCTTGAAAAGTTACTTCTATCAGAATTGGGGCTTACCCTGAAATTACTTGTTCACTCTTTCACCTTTCCATTAGGAAAAGTGGGTTGAAGTTGCATCAATGAAAATACCAAGAGCTGGTGTCTGTGTTGTGGCTGCAAATGGATTTCTTTATGCCTCGGGAGGCCGAGCTCCTAGTCATGATTTTGCTGCTCCAGTAACCTCTGACTCTGTTGAAGTTTATAACCCTCATATGGACAGTTGGACTGAAATTGCCAACATGATCACCAGCCGCTGTGAAGGAGGTGTAGCTGTGCTGTAAAACACAAAGAAGAAAACTCATTCAAGGAATAAGTAAATCTGTTGCCTCAGATTTCTGGTTTCATTGGCCAGCAGCCTCTTCTAACACCAGAGCTTCAGTAGAGACAGTGGAGAATTAGATCAGAGGGCTCTTCCTGAGCAAAAGGAAATACTAAAACTTGTCCTTCAAACTGGCTCATCCAATGTCTGTCTGAGAAAATACTGTTAAGTGTAGGAATGCCCCTTATGACTGGATTAAGATCACTGAAATAAATGGTGAATTTGCCCTGTAAAAATCCAAAGAAATCATTCCAGCACATTAGAGACATTAATCAGGTTGTTAACTCTTTTAAGATGCACCAAAGCTAGCATCTTTAGCTGGCCTTACAATCTGGAAAGAGGGTACTACAGACAGCTAGGAGTCACCTGTAGATAAGAGCAGATGGGCTACTTGGTTAGCATTAAATGTCCTTTTCTGGCAGAAAACAAAGAAAAGATAAGAAATAGGGAAGACTTGATACTTCTACTTAAGACTTTGATGCATTTGAGCCTCTTTGCTGCTGCTGGAAATGACAGTCATTCAATATGAATTGGATATTTACTTCTTGACCACTCCACTGACTTGGATGGTGAGTGGCTGAGAATTTCCTGTTCTGGAAGGTTATTCTCACAGTTCCAATAATGTCAGTCCACTTCAGCACGGGCTTTTCTTCTCAGTGGTATCAGTGATGACAGTAGAGCTCCTTTTTGTGTAAGCTCTAATGAATTCTAAATGGAAATGCCATTTATTAGATTAGCTGTTCTGTTTAGGACTGCTCTTAGTATAAAAACATAAGGAAATCCTTTTGCCCCTTTTTTTTTTTTTTCCCTTAGTTAAATGTGTTTTACCCTGTGTTACACGTGCTGAGACTTGGCATTGGAATACATGCTATTCTGCAAGGTACACACATTCCTTCTTGCTACATCTTATCTCCTACCTCTTCCAAAGTTGAGCAGACAGAGCATTTTGATAGAATTAGCTGCATTCAGCATTAAAGTGATACTAGTATATTTTGTCTTGAGGAGTTTGTATTTAGCTTGGATACACTTAGTAGGATAATACTACTAGGAGTTTGGAGTTATTTCTAGATTCATTTAATTAACATACTTGAAGTTGCTTTTTGCACAATATGATTGCATTTTCTGCACAGCTGTGGATGATTTGGATGGAGTCTGAAATAAGGCTGTTTGAACTTTGATAGACAGTGTTATTCTAGAACACAAAACCACAACTGGAATGTCACAAAACAGGAAGCCTGCACTGTGTAGACAAAGCAGCATTCATGCTGTCTAGGTCAATATCCCCTGTGTAAAATTAATACATGAATAAAATCCTCCAAGGTGAGTGTTGCCGGTACCTTAGAATCTAGGTCTTACATTCTAACATAGGACATCGGGAGATTGCCAGGCAAAATCATGCTAGACAATGGACCATTTGTTTCTTTGATCATTCAATAATCTTGTGTGTGCTTTTACTTCAAAAGGATTTCTTATGTGTGAACTAATGTTTATTCTGTCTTTTTTTCCTCAAGTTTAATCTTGTTTTAGACAGTTTTTCATAATAAAGTGCATTTTCAGAACTGACCGTGGAATGCTCTTGAATATGGTGCTTTCCTGTCATAATGAGTTGTATCTCTGCCACTTTCATGTAGTAGGTTTTGGGGTCTTTTTACTGGAAATCCTATTTCCCAGTAGGATACTACAAAAAGATGGTTTATAAATATTGACTATTTGAAAGGTGCAAGTAACACACTTCTGTAGTAAAACACTGATGTGTTTCTCTTCTCAGTATAAGATTACTCAGACTCTGTAGAAGTCTGGCTCCTTTTCCAGCTCTGTGCAGCCCTCTCTGGGATCAAATGGTAGGTAATATTTCTTAGGCTCTCTTCTTTGCATTTCATGATCCCTTGTGAACCATTTGGGAAACATTACATTAGTACTTTTCTGTTAGTTTGGGATCTACCCATTCACTTCTGATCCCTACCTGCAAACTTTGTTTTGTGGAGCTTGAGGGAGTCTGCTGTTTTATGAAGTTACCTTCACCAGTTTTTATAGCTGATTCGCTCACGCGTGTTTGAACAAAACTACGAAGTCAGTTGATAATGGTCTCTGATATTCAGCACCTCTTTCCCTGAATCAAACCAAAGGCAGTATTCTTCTCTGGACCCATCTTAGACATGTTTAAGTAAAAAAGAAAAAAAAAAAATTATTCACAAACTAAATGTTACTTTCTTTATATTCAGAGCACTGAACTATACTGCTGTTTCAGAGTTATGATGCTGTTAACATGTGAAGGTTAACAGGTTACAAAAGTCTGAGGCTCATGTACACAGCTGCTGTTACAGGAATGCCATGTAGGAAGATAGTTCTATCTTCAGGATAGACAGATTTTTTTTAAACGTCTGTTCTTTGCAGAATGGACAAATAACAAATCTTCAGTGACAGTATGTGCTCCATTCTGTAGAGAACAACAGTAAAGAATAGTGCTGTAAGAGGAACTCTCGCAATTGTCTAAATTGGCCCCAAAACTCTGTTGATGTCTCTCTTCAGCTCTTCCTGCATCTTATACTGAACTTAAGTGTTTAGATAAAAAGCCCACAGTAAATATACCCACATACAGTTTCATCAGTCTCTTGAGGTAGCTGAGGCTAGAAAAGAAAGCCATGTGGCTTAGTTGTATCTTCTTCCCCTAAATGATGTGTTAGGAAGACTTAAGTACAAAGAGCTTATGCTTCTGCAGTTTTCAGTAACTGGCCCATCATGGAGGGTTTGCAGGGTCCAAGTCCATTTGTACCTGCCCTGGGTGCTCAAATAAAATGAATTTTGAGGAGGGAAAAGACACAAACTACTCTCAATCCCATTATCTGAGCTCTTAGTGCCAGCAACTGAGTCCTTGTGTCATATCATACATTCATCCATGTGTCGTACCCTCAGCTGATAGTACTTTAGGAGTATGACAGATCTTTATGGTTATGTTGCATGCAGCTTCCTTGGCTTATGCAGCCCTAAGTCCAGACAAAACCTAGGAACAGATGTCCCAGTTATCCTTTTTTATTTCCGTAAGCCTGAGTAGGAAGCTAACCTGTCTCTTGGGGCACCTTGTCAAAGAAACAAAGCTTGCCCTTCTAGCTTTCCCTACTCCGTCACAGCAGCTGAATGACATATCTTAGGTGAGCTCTGACCTTGGCTTGCCACCACAAACAAACCTTGCCCATCCTTTCTTACCTGACTAGCACTTAATCACATAGCATTTTCAACACCTTCTCAGGTGAAATAAGAATTCTGTTCCTCAATGTAGGAACTGAACACATATGTACTTTTGCATAATTCTCTGATGCTAAACACTAAACTAGAACTGCTTTCACCTTATTACTGTTTACAACTACACAGTTATTCTTCCCACCACATAACATTATGACACGTTATAGTTCAATCAGATACTTTTAATAATTCAGCATAGAGAAATTCATACCCATGTCATTTGAATTCCATTTTAAATTCATGACAGTAACATTTCATTTGAGTGATGCTTTATTCTACAGATAAGGACAAACTCATGCCTGCCTTAGAAGTCAGCGCTATTCACAATCCTTCCCTCCTAAACTAGCTGTTTGTTTCAGGAATAAGCATTTTGATCACTACCATCTTATGACTTCTAAGCACAAATAAGTTTGTTTCCCCTGGAACTCAATACAAATACCTTACTGACAGATAAAGAGTGTTTTCCTGTTGATTTTTTTATTCCATGTTCTGTCATTTATCTCTGCTGTCACTTGGTTGCATCTCTGCAATAGTCTTCAACACTGCAGTAGATAATAGTGATAATACCATCACCACTGTTCCCACTACCCTCAGTACTTTAAACCACCTAGGATAAGTAGGAAGAAGGGAAACATCATAATGCAGTGCAATCCCTAAAGCTATTACTAGCATTATTGCACTAGAAGTGATATCTTTAAGAAGTAAGGCTTGCCACGCAAGTAGAGGAGAAACTATACTGTTAGCCAGGTTCAGCCAGTCTGGCTTAGCTGGGCTGTTTTCTGGGAGAGCAAACCCCCACCTCATTCCTCCTATGAAAGCGACTGTTACAGCACCATACATAAGCTGAGCAGACACCAGCTCTGGGTAGTAGGTCCCTTGGACGGCCATTAACAGTGGCACAGAAGCAAATGGAATTAGCCCTGCAAGGCTTAAGTAAAGGGCTGGCTTGGGAGACTCCTTCAGTGATTTCATACTTCGCTCCAAGATGCCTGGGCCTTTGATCTCAGAATCTGGGGGGGGTTTCTTCTTGAAGAAGGGAAGAGAGGTGTGAAAAGCCTGGAGCTTCGTTGTATATACTGATGCTGGGTTGAGGCTTGGAGATCCTGAGAGAGGACACACACCTCTCTGCAGCCAGAGGCCAAGAGGAGACCAAGTTGTCTTATTCTTTCCATGCAGTAGTAGTCTGGGACTGGTTAACTTCTGGAGCTGCAAGTATAAAACTTGTTCTGAACACCTTACAGTGTATGCTTAAGGATCGACACTTACCTAAACTACTCATGAAATATTCTACCAAGTAGTTTTCCAAGTCAGGTCACAACACAACTGCCTCTTCCACTCAGTTTTCAGGTGATTTTAACTTAAATAATTAAACCAAATGATACAGCTTTCAGAAGCTACCTGATGAAAAGCAACTAGGTTCTTCATAGTGAGTAAGAAAAACTTGTTCACTACAAAAGACTTGTATATCTACCCATCCTTCCACCCACACATGCATTCTTTAGGCATTTTTCAGTTAAGATATATCAGTCCTTTTCAGAGTAGACTATAAAGTGATTGCAGAAGTAGGACAAGGTCACCCCAGAAACTAGCTACTATCCCCTCGCTACTCTACCACAGAGAGGTGAAAAAAGACCTTTAGACATAAAATTTGATTTTATAAAAGAAATTTATTAGTTTTGGCTAAAAGCTCCTGTAGAGACTAGAAATGTCTCAGAAAAGCGGAGTGATAAACATGTGGCTACTCCAACTTCTAAGACACATTTTTTTCATGCACCAGTCATAACTTTCGCTATTTTACTTTTAAATAAAATTAGACAGCAAAAAAGGCTTCAGGAACTTACTTTGAAAGGTGTGTGGAAGCAGCATCTTTGTATGAGACGAAACATACTTGCTTTATCAAGGCCCTAAAACAGAAAAATTCAGGTCTGTAGCTGAGGAATAGCTGTTTGTATTATGCCTAAAGTCATCACAGTCTAGACATGTTTATCAGATGCAAGACTCTTATAGATGTATATTTAAAGATAAATATGTACTGAATCTTTATTTACCCACTACAGGATATTTTGTTTCAGGTAGTTCTATGAAGTTCTAAAGTTATAGAATCACAGAATCATCTAGGTTGGAAAGGACCCTGGAGATCATCTAGTCCAACCGTTCGCCTACCACAGTTCCCACCTACAGCATATCCTTAAGCTCTAAATCGACCCTACTCTTGAACACCTCCAGGGATGGGGACTCCACCACCTCCCTGGGGAAAAAAAAATAAAAAATCTTGTAATAACTGTTACAAGAACAATTTTTAGTTAAAGAACTGAGTCTCAGGGAACAGGTGATGGCTTTCCCGTTTATGGATCATCTCCGTTCCACGGGATAAACGGCTGCATGCAGGTTACAAACGACCAATTCCTCACATGTGGAAAACCCAATTCTGAACCATTACAGAGTAGGAACTTCACCACATCCCAAGCTGCAGGTAAGCTACTTGCAGGGGGGACAAACCTAACTGGGAAAGGCAAGCAGCTCGCCGGCGGACTTGACCCCCCAGTTCACGGTCCTGATGCTCCAGGGAGAGAGGGGCGGCTCCGCGCGCCCGAAGGCTTAGGCCGGAGGGAATGGGAGAGGAGAGGCTGTGTCCGGAGGGATGCGGGTCCCCCGGGGCCGAGGCGGTCACGGAGAGGCCGAGCTAAGGTCGGCTGGGCGCCCCGACCACGGCGGTAGCCACCGGCTCTAGCCCGCGGCCTTCCAACCCAGCACAGCCTCCAGCCTCCGCGCTGAGGCGGCTTCCGG